CGCCACCGGAGTGCAGGGGCGGCCCCAGAGCGCGGGGGTATGTGCAGCTAACGGTCCCGTCGGGCGGGCTTTCCTCTAGCCGAGCGCGCAGGAGGTGCGCCCCAGCTATGGAGTGTCCAGGGAGACGGCGGGCATGACGGCGACAGGATGGGCGCGAACAATGGCAAACAGTACGGCAGTGAGGGTGAGTGAGCCGTCCGTCCTCAGGCTCCCGGATCGCGCCCCCACCCCTCCCCCTCGCCCTCCCGGCTGCGGAGGAAGGTCCTTGCCTGCTGCCTGGGGGCGCACCCGCGTTGGCACCCTGTCGGGGCCATGACCCTCTCCGTTGGCACTGAGGTTATTGAGTGGGCAGGCGGCCGGAGGATGCTTTCCCACCGAGGGGGTGGGGTGGGGTTTCCGAGCAATTTCCCCGCGTGTCTTTGGGATGAAGTTGCACCAAGAGACATCTTTGCTGTATTTCTGAAGACATGTGTCTCAACTTTCCTTTCCTGGGCATCTAGGGTTTCCGATGATGACTTGGCCGATGGCAGAAAGAAAACGTTTTTAAAATACAGCGCAGTGAAAACTTTCCCCGGCCTTTGTGTTCCAGCCCTGTGGGCTCTCCTGTGGCAGGAAAAAAACTTCTGGAAGAAGTTACGTTTCCGTTCTTTGCTAACTGCCCTGGTCTGACAGCGTCATGAAACTAAGACACCTATGGGTCGCGGGAGGCGAGGAGTGGTTGGGGGCTTTGTCTGGCTCTCCTGGGGCCCAAGTGGGGCAAAGGACCATCTGTTAGTGGGGCTGGAAGTTGCACAGAAATATTGCCTGTCAAGTGGGAACTTGGAAGTTGGGGAAACTTTAAACTCCACCTACTCCTAAAAGGATGATGGATGTGTGGGTTGGCTTCTGGCTCTTTCCTCCTCCCCCTCTTTGCATAAAACCGTGGTGCTGTATCCCAGTTGATTAAGACCTTGCCCTTGATATTCAGAAGGCACAGGCACTTTCTGCAGTTCAAAAGTTAAGAGGGTTTGTACAAGTGAACTTGGCCAGAGGGGAGTGGAAGAGACGGTCAGTTTTACAGCCTGCCCCCCAGAGGACCGGCGGTTACAAAGGAGGGGCCAGGCTTGCAGACTGGTAGGAATGCAGAATAGCTATTCAGCATGTGGTGTGAGGGAAACGCTTATCGTCCTGTTCAAAACTTGGAGCTGTGGCCGCAGAATGTGGGTGTCTCTCCCCATGTTTGCGTCTGTGTTCGTTTCTCAGCAGCGTTGTGAAATAACAGCAGAAGTCGACCCTGAGAAGACTACAAGAACCTTTTGTTTAAATCATCCTTTTCCAGATGATTTATATACGCGCCCGTGCGCGCGCGCATACACACACACATTTTTTTTTCTTATCCTGGGCAGTTATGTGTGAGGGTTTTTTTTTTTTTAATTTAAATTTTTTAAGTTAAAAGTTACAGGTCGTCTTTTAGATAGCAAGTGTGCATGTGTGCCAAGAAAGATTATTGGAGATACTTGGCCACTCCCCAGAACATCTTAGAGCTAATGTTTTAGAAATGAGGGAAAATGAACGATTAAGCCTTCTTCCTCTGAATTGTTAAAAAGCATTTAATGATTGCAGTGTGTGCTTATCGATTCTGGGTGTGTATACAGTAGGCTCTTTGAACACTGATGGGGAGAGAACAGCCCAGGAGGTATACAGTCACTGCGATGTGTTCTGAACACCCCCCCCACACACACACACACACAGTTCTTGTAATCCTCTGCAACTTGTTCTTCTATCCCAGCATTCTTACATTGTACAGTGTGTGGTATATGACGACTTCCTGTCTGAACAGCAGAATTTTCAACCCATGGGAGAGAAAAGGAGAGACAGGAAACTAATGTTCTCCAGCTGTTATCCGTAAATGCTACCTCTGCATTTTCACTTCAGCTGAAGTGAAATTTTTACTGGGATCAGATTCAGATACACTGTGGACTTTCTATAGGGTAAACCCCTTGTGTTCAGCTGATTCAAGGGGACCAATAGGAAGCTTGTGGAGGTAACCGAGTTTAAGCAGGAGGAACACGTGTTTTCATCAACTTGTGTCAAATGCATTGAGATTCTTCTTAAAAGCAAGGAAAAAAAAAAGAAATGGAAGCAGCATATTCTTTTTTCTTTCTTTACCCCACTCAAATTGTACAATGGCTCTTTCTAAGTAGGGTTGTGACTTATGTAATTGGGTTTGGTCAGCTTTGTTGTGTTGTGTTGTTCCATGATAAAACATATGCAAATAAACCTGTTGGGATTTGATATACCATGCCATCTTTCTTACTACAGATGTCAAATTTCAAAGACAGAGAAAGTGATCTCCAGACATAGTATTTTTATTATCAAAGGAGACTGAGAGTTAAGACACCTTTGTAGGCTTGGTGCTATTCAGAGAGGGTATATTTCAGACATGGAGGGAGATTATCAGTAAATATAGACTAATAAAATACGAGTGATTGCTCATCTATGAAACATTGGTGTTTGTATATTTTGCACTTCTAAAATCTGCAGCGTAAGTATATACACACACGTGTACATACAATACATATGGACAGTCAGATAGATGTTACTTACTAATGGTGGTTGACACTGACATGCAAATGCCTCTTGAATATTGCAAATATCATTGAATTATTAGAACTTTTAAGACATCGGTATTCAGGGACCAGCAGGTGGCTTAATGATTACTTGGTTGGACTCCCATGTAGTTGACTACGGTTGGGGTCCCAGACCTGGTGACTTAAAACTCACACCAAGCACATGTGTGCATGCTCAAGATAACGAAAAGAGACTGGAAGAAAAGGGATTTAGGTGTGGCCACCCCCACTTGGGGGTGATTTCTCCCTTTCTGTCTCTTTCTCTCTTTCTCTCTTTCTCTCCAGCAAGCACACGCGCCCTAGAAGAAAAATCTCTCTCTCTCTCTCTCTCAAAAAAAAAAAAAAAAGACATTATTTCATTAGTAATCTCACTTTCTCCTGCTGTTGGAAAATACTTCTTTCATTCAAAAAGTTCATTCATGAAGCTTACCTTAGCATGTGCAACAGGACAGAGGCTTCCAACTCAGTGTGATTCAAGGATGTTCTGTATCAATATCGCCTGGGAGCCTGTCAGAAATGCAGAATCTTGGTTCCTTCTGAAGCTACTCAGTCATTTGTCACATGCATGATACAGCTTGGTGAAGTCCTTGTGTAGAGGACAGAACTTCAACTTTGGAGTCTGGACATTTAATTCTAGCTTCAACTCTTGAGATCTTTAAAGTGAAGAGAGAAATTCCTTGTTGGCACTTATGTCATTATTCATTGAGTGTGTAGTCCTTTATTTTATTTCGTTCTTATAATGCTTCATGACCACTCAACAGAGCAGATTAGCCTTGGAAGACAAGTTCTAATTAGTAGGGAAGTTAAAGCTCCTATTGCCAAGAAATCACCATTCCTCCCTTTCATCATCCTTCTTTATCTCCCACTTCTTCCTTCCCTAGCATTCCTTCTGCCTCTCGTAATTCAATCAGTCCTCAAACTTTTACTTTTCTCCTTAGATCAAGGTATATGTAAACCAATAATGGGTGTTTCTAGATGGTTTTGTTTTCCTGTTTCTCATTGTTTATTCAAGTTAATGGTCTAATTGACAGCCCTACCCTCTACTGCCTTTATGAACACTTGCTCCAGGAAAAAGTTATCTTATTCCTCTTTGTCTTTACAGTTTTATTTATTTTTGATTTTTTTCTTTTCTGTTCATGATATGTATGTACTCATGTGGAAGTGAGAAAAGGAGATAGGAGAGAGGGAGGCGCATCCTCCTTGGGCACTTGCTCATATGCCTGGCATGTTTCAGATTGGCTGGGCCAGGGATTCAAACCACAACTGCTATGTGGGATCCAGCTTCTTTTGAGCAGTGCATTACTACTGCCTTGATCTTTTGCTTTCTAGAAATATAAGAGAATGTGTAAATGATTAGTCTCTTCTGGTAAATCTTTTATGGAGTGCCATATTTTTCACTTCATCTTCTTTCATAAAATCTAGGTTATGGCCCATGTATAGAATCTGGAGAATGGATTGGGGTAATCCGTGGGTGACTAAAAACTATTAAACCATTAACGTTGACGGCAGTTGAGCCTGATAAACAGATCTCAGTTTAAGTAGGAAGAGAGGAGCAGCTGCCCCTGCCTTTTATGGATTTCTGAGCCTCATGGTCACTTACTGGGGGTTTTTTCAGTGTTAATGTTTATCCTGCCTCTGCAGGTCAGAGGTGGTAGCACTACACTTGGATTATTAAGATCTCTTTTGCAAAATTCTGGATAGGGTGGAATCGAAGTTGGTGAGACCAGAGCCATGCACTCGACCCTCTTAGTTCTGAGGCTCTGCCAATGGCCTGAGTTCCTTTTCACCTCAAATCGGCACTGTCAGGTATGAGGAGAGTCAGCTGCCTGAATGTAAGTCCTCACAAATCCATCACCACTCAGGAATCGTACCTTGAAGTAATAACAACTGTGGCAGGTAATGTTTACGGGAAGCTTTCTATGCCCAGGCATGGTTGTAAACACGTAACATGACTATGCCCCACTGAGGAGTCCTTTCTCCCTCTCTCTATCTCTTTTCTGGCAAGCACACACATACTCCGGGAAATTAAAGACAGGATTAAACTAAACTATCATACAGGTGGGTTCAAATTAAAGCATCTAGGTTCCAATAAAAGCATCAATGTAGACAATGATAGTATCTTTGGCCTGAAAATGAGATGATAATTTCAGAGAGTTGGGACTCTTTTGGTGCATTTAAAACAAAAGAGAGAACAGAGAGGTAACTTTTCTTCGCATTTGACAATCAACTCACATAGACTTGAATACCTTTGTCCTTGGAAACCTAATGAATACTGGATTGATTTTGAGTAGAAATCACTTAGTCTGTATCTGCTGGTATCTCTAGAAACTGTTCAGACACTTTGGCTTGACAGTTTTACTGGTGAAACCTTCTAGATTGTTAAGCATTTTAACATGGTCTTAGGGATGCATCAAAGTATACGAAGCCATCTGGGAATAAAAGCCTAGAGTAAGCTAGTTCTCTGAATGAATGCAGAAGGGAATAGACGAAATAGTATTTGAAGAACTGTCATGATGAAATTGAACTCGGAGTGCTGAACAAAGACCAATAGGTGTAAACTACTAATGGATGTTAG